GATGGATGGATGGATGGATGGATGGATTGATGGAAGGATGGAAGGATGGATTATGGAAGGATTGATGGATTTCCGTCAGCTGTGTATAAACGACACCTTTGGCGTGTCCCCCGAGTGACCCTTACATGCAGGTTGACCTTACGCGGAGATAGTTTAATGCTGCTGCTGCTGCTACACACACGAGCCTACTGAAATCGCGGCGAAAGTCTTGTGCCAGTTTCGCCGTAAATCTGATTAAGCGGACCCAGCGTCGTGAACCGTTGCCTGCCGCACTGCATTACTATTACCCTAAATCAGCTTTAATGAAGCCAGCATTACGCAGAGTCCTGCTAATACATGGAAATTGCCGCCAATCCTTCGCTGCCGCACGCAGTAAATAACAGAGCTCGACCGAGTCTCCGTCTGAGAGCATTTACAGAGAGCAAAATAGAAAAGATATAGAGAAAGGGAGAGAGAGAGAGAGAGAGAGAGAGAGAAAGAGAAAGAGAGAACGGGAGAGAGAGGTGTAGGGGAGGAGACGGAGAGAGGGAGGAAAGAGTGGAAGAGGCGTGAGAGATAGAGGGAGGGAGAGAGTGGGGGAGCAAGAGATAGATAGTCGAGAAGGGGAGAAGGAGAGAACGGGGAGAGGGAGTAAAAGAGAAAGAGAAAGAGAAAGACAAAGACAAAGAGAGAGCGAGAGCGAGAGCAGTGAAAGAGAAAGAGAGAGAGAGAGAGAGAGAGAGAAAGAGAGAGAGAGAGAGAGAGAGAGAGAGAGAGAGAGAGAGAAAGAGAGGGAGAGAGCGATAGAAAGCGAGACAGCGGGAGAGAGAGAGAGAATTTAACATGGCGACGTTACTCAATTAACAAATCACGTCATGCGCGTGGCTGCTCTCATTCGTGCCCACGCACAAACAATCTGTATTACCATCCTCATCGAGCCGACCACGAAGCCATGAACAACGTGCACAACACATGAAAGCTCCGCGGGAGGCTGCGAGCGGGGCTTCTCTATCTATTCTAGAATGTTACCGCCTGATGATGCGCGCCGGAGACATCCGCAAATTAGAGGAAGTGGCTCGTACGCACACGCTGCAAGCAAACAAGCTGATGCGAGGGGAGTGGAGGGCCGGACGCTGTCGGCTGATACGGCCTGGCACGGACCGAGACGCTATTTCGGCGACAGTTACTACGACTATCGGCTTTCATCAGCGAAAGTGAGCGAGGGGCGTCGGCGCGTGCTTCGGGCGCGATCGGCAAATTGTCGGGCGAAAGTGTGTCGCCATTTTCGTCTGCGCGGCGACTAGCGTTGATTACGGAAGCCCGCTCGCCCGCACGCATGCGAGCTGCTGCCGCTCCCCCTCCCTCCCCCCCTCTCGCTCGCTCGCTCGTTCAGGGGAGATGGCACGGCAAGGCACGCGCGCGGGATAAATAGAGGCACAGCTGCCGTGGGAGGCGGATGATCGTTAATCGAGAAAGTTACATGGGCGCGTGTTTCTGTGTCAGAGCGTGCGAGCGTGCGTGCGTGCGTGCTTCTGTTTCAGAGCGTACGTGCGTGCGTGCTTCTCTTTCAGAGCGCGCGTGCGATCGTGAGTGAGTATGTGCGTCTGTAGGAGTGCGCGAGTACGTGTGTATGTATGTCCTTCCTACGTGTATACATATGCGCGCGCGCGCGCGTGTGTGTGTGTGTGTGTGTGTGTGTGTGTGTGTGTGTGTGTGTGCTGCTCGTACCGTACACTCCGTCCGTTCGGCCGTACAGCAGTGTAGTCGTTTAGGGAAGGAAAAGGTCGAGGTATTAGTAATAAATAAAGTAAATTCACAC